TAGTTACCATATGACTGTATTATTTGTATTATCATGGATAAGGGTACCCTCCATATTTATTATTCAAATGGTGTTAGGATATCTGATATCACTGTCTTGTTCTTCTCGGACAATGAGTATGTTATAACCCCACCAATCTTAGCTAGTTTGTATGAGGATATATATAACGTTTGCATTGTCATTAAGAATTTGCTTGTTTGTGTGTATCCAGGATAGAAGTATATTGTGCCATTCGATCAGCTTTCTTTTACTTTTGTTTATTGCTTAATCTTCTTTTCCCCGAAACCCGCCATTGTTCAGGGTGGTGGCGCAGGTGGAGGAGTGGGTATACTTGCGGGTGTTTTCAATTTATCCATTAAAAGGTCAAAACCAGAAAGGGTGGGGGTTCTTGGCGTGTTTTGCTTCCTGAGCTCACTGAAACATTCATTCGTACGCAAATCTGTCAGCAAACTGTTCAATTAGTGTGTGTACAGTTGTTGTTGAAAGAAATCATTTATTCTGTGAATTCACCTTAATGGAAATTGCAAAAATATTGTGAAAATGGTAACTCAATACCTGCCCTAAGATCCAGTAGTTGCACCTTTCTGATGCCCAGTTTAAGTTGTCTGATCCCTGAGAAAACAGCTTTTTATTATGTTTATTGTGTTTTACAGTGTTTGAAAGAGTTGGTAACTTATAAAGTTACCTGTGCTGTTGAAACGTTTCCATCCCTGCATTCCAAGATATTTTTTATTTCTAAATTCTCTCACATTTAAACCAAATAATATATTTTTTAAAACCAGCTTTTGAAATTGCAGCCGATTCAAAATTAAAGTCAATTAGAAAATGATATCCTTTTTCGCATCAACAATCAGAGAGTGTATACCTCCCGTAGAAAAACATTTACATCATTTTAATATTTTTTTCAAGAAATGAACGTTTTATAAGTTGGTTGTAAAATGCTCTATTAAAAATGTTAGCTGACTAGTAATAGGGCGGTAAGTCAGAATATCTGCCAGCCAGAATGAGAAGCTATCTGTCTCAGGCAGGTATGCAGGCATTATTTTCAAACACTAATATATACTTGAGAAAACTATAATCTTAAATTTCATATTGTTCTTAAAAGAGTTAAACTTTCCATCTCTATAATATATACATGAGTGGAGACTTAAAATTGGGAAAGACAGTCATGCATGAAATGACCTTTATCGCCTAGCGGTTCATTTCGTGTCAAAATCTAAATCCGTTATGTATAAATGCAGTATACATGCTTCATAATGGAGAGGATGTGTGTATTCTCAGGTTTATCTTTGCCACTCTGCAGTATTGCAAATCTTCCGCACCAATCTCTGCAACTTTACTTAACAACACAGCAAGTGTCAGTTTTGACGAATAAATGGAACATTCTGAACATATTAATGTGTGAGTGACGTGACGAAACACATCTATCGCTTCGCTTTGTTCCACTTCCCAGGGTTCCTCATCTCAGTTGACATTTGTTAAAATGGATTTTTCACACGTCATTCTGTGTGCATTATTTCAGGGTGAGAAATACTTAGTTTTGAAGAAGAAGTACCGACATCTTATAGAGAGTGCACCCGTGGAGGTTGACAGTTGTGAAGCCGAAGAAGCTCAGACACAGGTTAGTTTCAAGCTTGCAAATTTCTCTGTTTGTTTTAGTACACTTAGTCATCGCACACTGTTTCTATTTAAACCAAACTACTGGTAACATCAGGTATATAATAGCTTTCCAGTCACTAAACCACTCCCCAGAAGTCAAGTAAAAACTAGCCATTCATTTCTTTGTATTGTACTTTTGCCTGGACAAAAACACTAGCAAATCAACCATTGTTTGGGGATATTTTGCAATGCTTTGTGGGTAACTAGCAAGCATTGATATCACATCATGACTGTACTAAGGACAGCACAGAGCTAAGTCATGGATTGTAATGCATTATGGGTAATCAAGGAGCAGTGACTACATTGTGGTTGTACTATGAATTTATTGTGGACACTATGTAGCCGAGTCATAGACTGCAGTGTTGCAATGCACTATGGGATAGTCATATTCTGAGAATACTCTGGATTGTTATGCAGAGTGACATATAGTTTAAGCTAGAATGTATTTTCTGAGCTTGAACTCCCGAATTTTGGGAGTTCCCAGTTTCAAGTTCAAAATGTAGGGATAATACAGGAAATATATGCATTTTTTGAAGGGCATCAGTCCATTGCCTTTGATGTCTCTATGAAGGTCAAGCCTGTATTAATCTATGTGAAAACCTTGATTGAAAACAAGTACTTTGAAATTAGTACTTATTTTGGGATAGATAGTTCTAGCAGGGTCCATGCTCATCGCTGGCAGTCAAATAATAAAATCCCTTTGTTCAGCTAGCTTTCAATCATTTCCTCAGTATTTGCCATCAGGCATAAATCATGCCTTAAAATATGGTCTACAGATGAGTTTAATCTGTCCATACAGGATGAATGCATACATTGCTACCCTATAATCCATATTTAATATTTATCATGTTGAATTGAAACCATTATGTACATTCTTTGTGGGAAATTTTAAACAATAATCCATCGTTTGGTCAGTTATCTCGTAATTTTATGCTGTTCAACAACTGTGGTAAGTCCTGTGGAGGGGATAGTCGTGAGTCAGTGCTTTTGAGCAGCATTGCCACGTTCCCCTGGGACTTCGTGAATGGCAGTTTTGCTAAGTATAATTCCTTATATTTTGTTTTATTAATTGTTTGTGAGAATTGTATTTCTTGGTGTGGTAATATTGCACGCTTCGTGTTGTCTTTGTGTATGCATTTTAGATTTACGGTTTTACGTAGGCTAGCCTGGATGGATTGTGGTTGCCACTGTGCATAAGCACTGAGTGAACCGAGAGGAACAGCTTGTGTTTGTTCTGTTTACGTTCAAACACATTATGACATAGTCCCATCTTTAGGTTGCTATAGTTGTGCCTCCCTAAACTTTTTTCCCTTGCAAGTTTCTGACTCCAGATTGGTCATACGATTAATCGGGTATGTACAAGTTGTTGAATCATATTTGGAAATATACCCTATGCATGACCCCCTAAAGGTCTCACATCCTGGTCCTTCATGGGCGGTGTGAGAAAGGGGGGGGGGTGATTTTCAATGAGAATTTTTCAATTACTTGTCCTAATATTGAATTTCAAAGACTGTTAGCCCCATTGAATGCCATGCTTTTCGTGCCAAAATTTTGATTCCACATATTTCATGTATTTTTTTTGGCTCAAGTGAATATAATTAATTTCACATTGCCTTTATTTATTGAAAATAAATATGAAGAACAATGTGCAGGTTTTATTCTTTGAAACTAACATGACAAAAGTTTACTTTGTTACTTTGGGGGTTTAAAATAACATATTGCAAATTATTTCTGTTATTGAACAAACATAGACCTGTATGTATTACTTTTGGAGGTCACTTTTCAAGGCCTCATTTTTGGGCACACAGTGTAACATATACTGACTGAATATGTTTCAGCCACCTGTTTTTATTCTTTTTTTTCATTTTTCAGTGTTACCCTTTTCGCCACCAGACTTTCTCGCCCAATTTTGTCTGCACTTTTTTCTTATATTCTTCAATATTTCTGGAAATTTGATACAATTTTCAGTTTTTCCTCAAACAATTCGGTTATTTTTGTTCCAATCTTTTGAAGGAAAGTGTAAATATAAACAGGACTATTCTGTGAATTTGTGATGAAAAGAGGAAACTGGTCGTGAAAAGGATAAGAGCAATCTTATAGTTTTCCTGTGCTAGTTAAAAACCAAATTAAAACCTAGAGTTGAAATGTAAAATTACTAGCACAGGTATTTTCTTAGGTGGTCTGGTTCAAATCAACATTGCGTTATTTTCTCTGTGATCGACATCTTTTTGCATCAAGTCTACTAGTATTTTCCATAGTTATGATTGTCTACCTATTAGCATATCAAAGGCATACTTGCATACATCTGTACATGTATGTACTTGCAGGACATAGGAACTTGTACGGTAGTTTTATGTAAAACCCTAAAAATGTCATTACACAAAGTATACAGGGCCCTCCTCCCCATTCCAAATCACCAATCAGAGTAGCAAGGACCTGGGCATAGACTGATGACAAGTTTATATATTTTGTAGGCACATAGACTATGTTGACACATACTTTAAGAAACATGAAAGAAACATTTTCATAAATAAAATTAAAATTCCTCTAAATAACAAAATAGATGAAGAAAAACTAACATTCATTCTAGGAAATAAGAACAAGGAAACACTATTTGAGTTATCGAAATACGGTATGTTCATAATTGCGTCACAAAAAGAAAGGAGAACATTAAAAGCACTCTAGCAGCTGCCTCAGTTTAAACCACAAAATAATAATAATCGTGTACATACATTAAATACACATATATTTATAAATGTCATTTTAACATTTTTGTTTTCGTTCTTTCTATTTATTTACACTTTATTGTTTTTTGACATCAATATCCCCAAAGGGAGTCGATTGCAATAATAATATTATTATAACTTAAACACATATCAACGCAGGAATTTTTAATGTAGAATCTCTAGATTTCGTGATATTATTTTTCGTGGTTTTGCAATGCCTAAACAAAAATCAAGGAATGCTACATTACTGAAATTATCGCTAATAAATCAATAATAAATCAACTTGGATATTTTAACTTTTTCACTGCTTCACTTTTGCCAACATTTTTCTGCACTCTTTTCTTATATTTTTTTTCATTATTTCTGGAAATGAGCCCTTAGTTTGGAGCCAACAGGCACAATTTGAGTAAATTTTCAGTTTTTACTCAAAAAATTGGCTTCTTCTGTCCCAATCTTCTGAAGGAAAGTGCAGACTATAAATAGGACTATTTTTGAATTTGTGATGAAAAAAGAGGGAACTGGCGGTGACAAGTTTAAATGCATGAATTGACAGTAAAACCAGAGAAATCAAGCTAATATTTAATGGATCAACAGTATTGTACTGTAGAACAGTAAACAGCATTGTTTAAAGGAAACAAAATTGATGGCAGACGTTTTGATTCACTTCCATGTATTCACCTGTAATTGTTTGTTTTGACTATTAAAATTGAACACACTAAAAAGTCTTTTGAACAACTCAATTCCTTTCAACAACTAAGATGCTGTCTGCTAAGATAATGTCATCTGTGTAATCTCAAATGGTCACCCTACCACATAATACTGATACACTTAACTGCCAAGGACGTAACCTTTCTGTTCCAATTCCCAAATGACCACCACTAAAAACAATCATAGCACAAACGGTACAATTCAATTCAGGCTTTGTTTCTTTGGTTGTGTACCTATTCCCCCTCAATAATGCCCTTCTTCTAGCTGTCCCCTAAATCTAAAATATAAAAATCCTGTTTGAGACTAGCAACAGGTAAATCAATAAGTTCAACGTTATTAAGATTTTTGCATGACTGCAATTTGTCACTCATTATGTATAATTAAAAGAATGTTGTCTTAGCCTTCTGCTGTGCTGTCTTCCCATGGTCCTGGTCGCTTAGACTGCCACCCAGTTTGCCTTATTAGGACTGTGATCAGACTCTGTGTGCCTTCTAAGCCGCTATGCCATTAATGCACAAACACAACTAGTTACGCTAATTCATTGAATTGAATTGAACGCTAATTTGGTGAAATCAAATTCACATTTAATAAATAAAATAAGTGTAAATGCAAAGAAAATGAGGGTGCACATCAAGTCACCAATACAGTCCACATACTATTAATTTTTTCTTAAAGACAAACCTCCTCAGCAGTCAACAAGCTGACTCAACTTAATTTTGGGGGATACCATTTTGAATCAGAATTCCGACAAAATCAGTCCTGTTAAGAGGACACACTGATCAGACTAATTTAAAATGATCAGCCCCTAATACATTAATCAAATTTTTTGCCTTTTACTAGAGACCAAAAGAATTTTTAACACATTGATGTTAGATTTTAGTTTAAAATTATAATTGTCATGTTTGGATGAACGCCACATATTCTTGTCTGATATGGATCCCTGGATCCCATGTGATCGCACATCACATGTGAAATAATTTGAATGTGTGCTGTATGCTGACTGTTCTTTAACTGCCTTAGACTTAAGACACAAACGACTACTGGACTTGGTATTACAAATAATAAGCAACTTATTTGTCCTATCAATTACACATGTGCTTCTGTAAATGACAGAAGTGTGTCTTTGGTCAAAATAAGTCGTATTTTAATGATTCTTTACCATTAAATAAATTTGTTTTTATGTTCGCTTCTATTGGAGATGTGCTTCCAAATGAGCAATTACGGTATCTTGTTTTCTGTAATCTAAGTAAAATATTTGCTTCATGCATAGAGCGACAACTCAAAATGCAATAATTTTTTTATATTACAAAAAAAATTTCTTCCAGTCAGTATATTTTAATAAATTTGTTAATAATTAATTTAAATTAAATTAGTTTTAAATCTAAAATTAAATTAATTTTAACAATATTGTCCTGGTCAAAACACTGAATATAGCAATGTTTTGTTCTTGTCAAGTGACTATAATATTGAATTTATATTTAAAAAAACAAACCAACATGTTTTAAATTCATTTTACGTCTATAGATTGTCAAAATTGAAATTAAAGACGAAGTTGATGGAGGAGACGTAGAAGTCGATGCAAGCAAAGAGAAAACACTGCATTCTTCGGAGTCAAAGTCACGGGTGTTTGATGTAGCCAAGTCGTTTGAGAAAAAAGCCGAAGAGGAGAAAGCATCTGCTGAAGCAGCTAAAGTTGTTTCGCCAAGCACACAAAAGGTAAAGGGTTTATGCAATTGGGGGTAAATTACTCGGGAGGTGTAACTTCGGTATTTATTCAAGTGTAGTTGCTCTGATGATGGTCTCTTAGCAAAGATCATCTGAGAGCTATATGCTTTAAAAACTGTCCCATCATAAGATTTAATTTTTTCTTGTGAAACAAAAATAAAATTCTGTAAAAGTTTCTTCTCATCATTTATGTTGACTTTATGACTGATAAATTAGTGTAAATAAACCACATGTATCTACCCAATTTATTGTTTTCTAGTTTGAATTATCAAGAGTAATTTTATTCTTCCAATCTTTAAATATACCATATTAATTCCATTAATTGGACCTTGAACAAATATTTATTTTTGGGAGTGGCTGAAAAGATTAAAATTCTATTTTATGAAAGGTTGAATGATTATAGTGGGTCATTTTAGTCAGTAGTACTGTAGTTTTATGTCATGCGCTGTTGATCAGTTATTACTGTAAATAGCGCAATATAAGTAAATAAATTATTATTATTATTAATATAATTTTAAACAAAAAAATGAAACATGCAAACAAAAACATTCAATGCTTTAAGTGGTTTTGAAATATTTCCTGCCAGATAGTTGAATTGCTAAAAATAATATAAAAAAGAAATTTTGTTTTAGGAGAATATTAAGTGGATAATGGTAAATAAAACATTATATCTACAATTCTCATCTTTTTGTAATCAAAAGTATTTGTACAATGTAGTTTGTTTATTTTTGACTTAAATATTTTGTTTTAGTAACACTAATATTTATGTACTACACTATTATACTTGTATGTGAACATACTTTTCATAGTATCCCACAATTCTATCAAAACCCATTGTATCATGTGGGCACTTTCAACCAATCATTGTTGCTTGTTTAGTGTATGTGCTGTAAACATTTTACCACGATGATGATTCAGACAGTACTGTATTTGAGAATCTGTTAGCGTGTTTGCCATCATTGATCAAAAGTTTAGTTGATTTTATTCATTTATTTACCAACAGAAAGATGATGACGGTGATGATGACTCGGTTACCTCTACTCTATCTAATGTTGCGGTATGTACCATACATTTCACATTCTCTATCTTGTTTACTATTTCTCTACTGTCAACTTAGGTGACAGAGTGGAAACTGTTCATATTACTGATTGTCCATCAGTATCAACTTTACATTTTCAACTTCTTTTTGAAAACAGCAAGTCCAATTGCTTCAATATTTTATATGTAAACACCTTAACCGATGATTTTAATTTCAGGTGATTTTAATTTCATGACGATAAATTAATTTTTTTAATTTTAGTGAATATTTTTCATAAAAATGCTATTTTCAACTATACAGTGGAGCTATATCAGCTTACAGGTTGCTTGTTTTATTGCTAAATTGAGTAACTATACCTCTCATTCTTTGAAGATGAGGTGTTAAGTTGACATTGAATGGTTGCTGTGTTTAGTGATGTAGACTGATAGTCATTGTGAGTAGTCATTAGCCAGGGCAGCAAGTTGTTGCTCATTGAAATATTACTATATATCTTGTGTGGCCAGGAGTCTGTCATTGGATGGTTGCTGTGTTTAGTGATATATACTGACAGTCATTGAGAGCAGTCATTAGCCAGGGCAGCAAGTTGTTGCTCATTGAAACATCACTATATCTTGTGTGGCAAAGAGTATGTCATTGAATGGTTGCTGTGTTAATTGATGTCGACTGACAGTCATTGAAAGTAGTCATTAGCCAGGGCAGCAAGTTGTTGGTCATTAAAACATCACTATATATTGTGTGGCAAGGAGTCTGTCATTAGATGGTTTCTGTGTTTAGCGGTATATACTGACAGTCATTGAGAGTAGTCATTAGCCAGGGCAGCAAGTTGTTGCTCATTGAAACATCACTATATATTGTGTGGCAAGGAGTCTGTCATTGGATGGTTGCTGTGTTTAGCGGTATATACTGACAGTCATTGAAAGTAGTCATTAGCCAGGGCAGCAAGTTGTTGCTCATTGAAACATCACTATATATTGTGTGGCAAGGAGTCTGTCATTGGATGGTTGCTGTGTTTAGCGGTATATACTGACAGTCATTGAGAGTAGTCATTTGTCTAGGCTGCAAGTTGTTGGTCATTAAAACATCACTATATATTGTGTAGCAAGGAGTCTGTCATTGGATGGTTACTGTGTTTAGTGATGTATACTGACAGTCATTGAGAGCAGTCATTTGCCAAAGCAGCAAGTTGTTGGTCTTTGAAACATCACTATATATTGTGTGGCAAAGAGTTTGTCATTGAATGGTTGCTGTGTTTAGTAATATACTGACAGTCATTGAGGGTAGTCATTAGCCAGGGCAGCAGGTTGTTGATCATTGAAATAGTACTATATGTCTTGTGTGGCAAGGAATATGTCATTGAATGGTTGCTGTGTTAATTGATGTAGACTGACAGTCATTGAAAGTAGTCATTAGCCAGGGCAGCAGGTTGTTGACCATTGAAATATTACTATATATCCTGTGTGGCAAGGAATCTGTCATTGAATGGTTGCTGTGTTAATTGATGTAGACTGACAGTCATTGAAAGTAGTCATTAGCCAGGGCAGCAGGTTGTTGACCATTGAAATATTACTATATATCCTGTGTGGCAAGGAATATGTCATTGAATGGTTGCTATGTTAATTGATGTAGACTGACAGTCATTGAAAGTAGTCATTAGCCAGGGCAGCAAGTTGTTGACCATTGAAATATTACTATATATCCTGTGTGGCAAGGAATCTGTCATTGAATGGTTGCTATGTTAATTGATGTAGACTGACAGTCATTGAGAGCAGTCATTAGCCAGGGCAGCAAGTTGTTGATCATTGAAATATTACTATATATCTTTGTGGCAAGAAGTATGTCATTGAATGGTTGCTGTGTTAATTGATGTAGACTGACAGTCATTGAGAGCAGTCATTAGCCAGGGCAGCAAGTTGTTGATCATTGAAATAGTACTATATGTCTTGTGTGGCAAGGAATATGTCATTGAATGGTTGCTGTGTTAATTGATGTAGACTGACAGTCATTGAAAGTAGTCATTAGCCAGGGCAGCAGGTTGTTGACCATTGAAATATTACTATATATCCTGTGTGGCAAGGAATCTGTCATTGAATGGTTGCTATGTTAATTGATGTAGACTGACAGTCATTGAGAGCAGTCATTAGCCAAGGCAGCAAGTTGTTGATCATTGAAATATCACTGTATTTTGTGTAGCAGGTCTTATTGAAATCTTGTATGACAAATTCCATTCAATGAATAAATGCTATGCTTGCTTTGTGGTGTAGCTTGATGACATGACAATTCGTATCATTTAGAATGAACACATGACACAGGTTTGTTCACTGATCCTCGATCCCCTTCCCAGTTCTAATCAGGTATGGTTCCTTCATCTTTGGAGATCCCTATCTTTAAATACATCAGTCATAATGTCAGTCTTATGCCTTGTGAGTTGTGAACCACTTGGGGATTCTATTTAGGGATTTAAATCGCCACTCAGTGAGCTGCTGCTGTTGACAGTGCTTTCACTACTGACAATATCATCCAGTGATGTGATCGGGATCCGTCAGTGCGACTGAATTCATACTTGATAACTGTCGAGTGGGAAGGATTGAGTGAGTGTCAATTTTGTTTAATAGCTTAGGTGGTAGATGACAGTAAAGTGAAATCATCTGAGAAATGGGCAAGGCCAGTTCAGCGTTAAACAAGAATAAAGAAATGACTTCATATTGATTGGTATTGTGAATGAATGTAGTATATATGGTAAATGTGATTAGTAGTTAAAGTCAAGCTTTAATCTAGATTACGAGTCAAATTGATGACAGCCATCAAGAGGACAAGATTGATGGAAACTTAGCTGCCCCACTAATCATATATGGCTGATTACTTAGCTAACGGTGCTGTTCTACTAAAACCCCCCAACAAATTGAGTCTGCTGGAAAATCTTCATCTGTGTCATTAATCGGCGAGTCCTGTGATAAGCAGCTGATGAATTGTAAGATAACTGACATAATATACACATAGAGAGGTGTAGATGACTTTTGTTGGATTTCGTGAAGACGTCATTCATTGGTTGTCTAACTTAGAGCAGTGACTGATTTACTTGCGTCCCTTCCTTGTGTTTTGCGACGATCAACCCATTCTGGGATATATTCCATTAAACAAATAAGATGAACCGGTAAATATGTTATCTTCCCTATCTTAATCAGCCTGCTCTGTAGCAATCTATTCTGTGTATTACTGCGAAAATCAACGATAGTTTTTTTTAAATCTGAAGAGAAAATAAAACGCATCCCGTGAAACGAGGTGCTAAATTGCCTGACCTCTTACTTATATACATACTAATGAAGTGGACTCGTTATTCATTGAAAGCGAGAGGCGGGATCTGATTCTTCTAAGTCGTAAGATTAGTTAAGAACACTGGTTATAATTCTGAAATTACATTCTAACAAATAATGTTATGAATCTACGTGTGCTTATGATGTTCATGACTGATAGGGCCAGCAGCGTAACTACCGATTGACAGGGGATATCAAAACCAAAGCTGCATGTCTCCATTCTAAAATAACAGTTAAATTGTCGGCGTACTGCAAAGCGAGGACTAAAGTTAACTAATCCATAATAATGTAATCCAATAAATACAGTTTAATGTCATTCCTTCTCTTAATACCCGGTCCAAATCCCTAAAATTTATGCGCAAGCATTTCAAATTCAATTTGGTTTTCAAGTATTATTTAAAATGCACGCACACACATACTCGGAGGCTATTTTAATATCTTTCTTGACCCTTCTGCAGCGGTTGTTTTTTTCTATCTGTTCTCGGCATCTATGTAAAGTGTGGCTGGAGACATAGATAACCTTGTAGCACAAATTACCTCCTTGCTCACAAAGTATTGTAGGCTTGCCAATGACATATCCATCTGTTTTTCTAATACTGGCTTCCTATCAGATGTTGCTTTAATGGTTGCCCTTTACTACATTTCTGAATTATGTCAAAAGCGGATACTTTGTAATTAAGAGTTGTAGCCGCTTCGTGAATTTGCTATTTCTGTCTGTTTCTCTTTTACTCATAAATCTGCCAGTGACACTAATTCCCGTCATGTTAGTTTTCCTACTATTTGTACATACATGTATACACAATGAATGATTGATGTCAACTGTGCCCTGGTTTTGTTTGGCCCCAACCAGTGATATTTGAAATATGTGTTCTGTTCAGTCCTGTCAGTTGCCAGTTTTTTTTTTTTTTATTTTTTATCGCCTGCAGTATTGGTATAGTTTTAGCATTAAATCAACAGTTGATATGTTCCTATCCTGTCTACATGTCACACTTCTGTGTAAGAGCTAAAGTTAACTGATGTTATGTTTTTCTCCTTTGTAATCAAGTGTAAACCATGTTATATTGGAATGTAATTACATAGTAACGAGTCATGTAGATCTTTTCAATTGTTTATTTCAATTTTCTTTGTTAGTTTAATTTTTGGTTTCAAAAATATAACATTTTGACATTAATTTGTTGCCTATCTAGCTTTGTATGTAATGGTTTGGAATTATTTTTGTTGCCTTTTTTTTTTATTCATGTGCCCAAGCTACTACTGTATCTCATCAAAATTTCCACATGTTTAGACGTATGTTAATAAATAAAAATGTTTATTGAATTTTCGAAGATGTTGATGCAGGGAAAAATTTTTCTCTGAAAGGACTAAGAAAATATTTATTTAAGACTCTTTAGCAAATGTTCTTGGTTTTGATAGATTTTACTGTATATATGTATATGGAAACTCCTAAAAAAACTGTTCTCTATGACTCCAGGGTTAATGAGCATTATTAAGTTTACCTTATCAGTTGGCTAGGTTCTTGGTTTTTCTGTAAGGGCAGAAAACAAGTGCTGACTTTCCATGGAACGTGTGTGTACCTCTTCATCCTCCGATAAAAATCAAGAGCATGGAAATCTTTAGTTTAGACTTAAAGCTTAGAGATCAGGAAAGTAATCCTGATCTAGGCCAGCCAAAAGCATGCACATTTTAATGCCATATTGTATTAAAATC